AGGGAGGGAGGGAGGGAGGGAGGGAGGGAGGGGAGTCTTGCCTGAATATGTATGTGCACCTCCCCCATTTCCCACACTCAACCTCTACAGCACTGTCAACCATGACCGCGTCACACACTTTCTTTGCACTAATGACAACCAGAACATTCAACCACACAGTAGCTGACCCCCATCCTTTTTAAGATGGTACCTTCGGGTAGGTGGACAGCAGGCTCAGAACCAATGCCCTCAGCCTGAAGTTGCAGTCTACCTGGCACTAGTCCAGAGGCTTCAGAAAAACATCGCTCATGCCTCTGGGCCTGCACCTCTTCCTAAGCAATCAGGGATGATGAACAACACAGAATCCACACAGCAGTAAACCCCACAGACCTAGTATACATCATCTAGATGTCCCGTGCCATCTCCAGTCAGTCATACCACCTTGACCACAACCAGACCCGTCTAAGCCTCCCACGCCTGGGAATTCACTTACTCCTCATAAGTGAGGCAAGGACAGACTACTGTCATCTCGTTTTAAAGTATGGGGGAGGGAGATGAAGCCCTCAAAATTCAAGTAACCTACCCCAGAGATCACAGCGGCAGAGATAGGGCAGGGATTTGAACCCTGGCAGCAGATGGCTAAAGCCTCACCACACTCAGTGGCTATTAGCTTCCCAGTATCGGCGATCTTGTATTTCTCTTTGCTTCCTACCACCATGCAGGTCGTAGGCATGGAACAGGTGCTCTGCTACATCTATCTGCGTCTTGTAGCCCACATAGATCCCATCCCCATCCCTCCTGAGCCAGGTTAACTGGAGACGGAAGGAACTGAGTGAGCAGGGATGCGCCTAATGCACAACTCGTACTAGTCCAAAGTGAGTTCCGTCACAATTCGCTACCAATGCAATGCAGACAGGAACGACAGTGACATGCTGCTGTCCATGCCCACATGGAAGAAATATACAAGCAAATACTTTTAAAACTTAGATGGGCATGCGAGGAAGCTCAGAGGTTAAAAGCACATGCTGCGCTTGCTGACAACCTGAGTTCTGTTCCCAGCACCACCTCAGGGAGTCTGAAACCACATGTTAACTCCAGTTCGCGGGGAATTGCCCTCCGGTCCCCCTCAGACATATGTACACCTGTGATGTACATAAATACACAGGTACCCATACCCACATAAATAAAAATAAAGAAGGGGCTGGAGAGACAGATCAGAGGTTAAAACCATTGATTGCTTATCCAGAGGACCCAGGTTCAATTCCCAGCACTCACACATCAGTCAACTATCTGTAACTCCAAGATCTGACACCCTCACACAGCCATACCTGCAGGCAAAACACCAATGCACGTAAAACAAAAAAAATTTTTTTAATAAATAAACCTTTGATAAGGTGTCGGGAAGAACACATTCTACCATATAGATCCAGCTACAGCTATTCTGGAAAGCTGTCAGGAAAGATCCACCAACTAGCAAAGCCATCCAGTCTCTTGACCATACCACACACTGTGATCTGTGGATCTCATGCCTGAGAACCACACAATCAGGTTGGGGAAGGGGGGGGGGGGTCGAGGGGCTGCACCATCATGGCCAGGCCATGTGACAGGAGCAGTGGCACCTTTACTCTTGGCACTAGGGAGGCAGAGGCTAGCCTGATCTACATAGCAAGTTCAAAGTTAGCCTGGGCTATATGACAAGACCCTATTTAAAAGGGGCGGGGGAGGAAGACACTTTATAAGCTTGTTCCCTTAACTCAAAACTACAAATCCCTCTAAAAGAAATGAATGACTCCATGGACCGACTCAACCCCTCCATCCCAATTGTGGAGATGAAGGGCAAAGCTGAGAAACTGCCAGCAGAGAAATCTCAGGATTCCCTGTACTTGCCACAGCTTCCTGCTAAATCTCCTCCGACCCATCCCCTTTAGATCACGGCCGAGCTAGCGGGCTCCTGGACCACTGGGGACCCCCCTCTTCCCTATTTTCCCATGCTTGAAGAGACAAGAGGCTGTACAAAATGCAGTGAATGCAGAAGTCACTGTAGCCACCCACTGGGCTGCCCTGGGCCTCAGAGACACCAAGAAGGCAGGGCACACGTACCTCATGCTCACAGATCTTGATGACGACTTTTGCTATTTGCGTCAACTTGTGATTTCCTAAGGAAGAAGGAAACAGGATTATTTCAAAGGCAAACAGCAAGCCGCCTGCTTCGGGATTACACTTGCATTAGAAATATTTTAAACTGTTCCCCTCCCCACCCCCGCGAATATTCATCATTTAAAGGCTTAGAAAAAAAAAAAGCAGGTTTCAGGCTTCCAACACTGATTCAAATTACTGACTTTCTATCAAGGACCAAGTTTTGTTACCATATTACAACTGGGCAGTTGGTGTGGAATTCCCTATAGATGAGGTTAATATTTCAAAGTATTCTGACATTCTAAAGGCTATAATTAGCAGAAAGGAGCCTTATTTAACCCTATAATCTCAGAACACAATGCAAAAAGGAAAGAGTGCTTAGTGTCTTGCTAAGACTCCACCAGTAGCTGTGTAGAAAAACAGATGAGAAAATTCTCACAAGAAAATCCTCACTTACTTAATGGCTAAGCATCAGGAGTCCCTCCCTCTACCAGAACTCTTAGCTAATGATGTGAGCACCTGGTCCAGAGCTAATGCCAGGCCTTTTTCCTTTGCACTAAAGCAGAGGTTAAGATGGCCAAAGGACTGTGTTCTCTCTGCCCTAATAGTATTTCCAGAAACTGTAAATCTGTTGGTCTGAGGAGATGGCTCAGTCAGTATACGCGAGCCCCAAAAGCACAAGGACTCCACGGCCAGGCATTCCAGCCTGACTATCTCCAGACCCGAGAAGACACCATCCCAGCAGACAAGCATTAACCAAGGTAGGTGGTACCTGAGGTGGAACTTGGGATAGACACTTCAGGCCTCGCCCATGCGCGCACACATAGGTGCATGCCCACCCCCACACACATGAGCCTACGAGAATATTCACTATCCGAACCTACACACACAGCTAGGAACTAAATAAGGAAGAAACCCGTAATGGCCGCTGTAAGCATCCCTGTCCTCCACTCCACTGGCCAATCTAGCTGGAGCAGGTGTTAAGCTCATCCACGGGAGCCCAAGCAGTTTGTCTGATCTGATAATCAGGGCTTGGTACCAGGTGCGCTCCCGGTTTGCTCTGCAAGCGTTTTGAGACAGGGTCACTGATCTGAGAGCTCTAGCCAGCCTCCAGGGAGAGTCCCTTGCCTCTAACACCCCCCCTCCCACCACCACGGCTAGGGTGACAAACACATGCAGTGACACCTGGCTTTTCTAAGGGCACTGGAAATGGAAGCCCAGATCCTCACTTTGCTGACTCATCTATGTTCTCAGCCACCTAAGCCTGGTATTATTTCCAAGATTCTTTTCCATTACATGTATGGTGTACACGTGAACGCAGATAGTCGCCGAGGACAGGAGAGCTGAGCCCTTGAGCTGGAGCTACGGGCAGTGTTGCTAGGCAATGACATCCCTCCAGTCCACGACACCTGACTGATCTCAACAAAGGACAGGGAGACTGTGTGCCACGCTCTCTGAAGCACACTCTCTTCCTTGGAAACCTCCAAGCCACTCACCCCCATTATAAATAATGCAGTTGTGAAGGATCCACTTGGCATCGGCCAGGAAGGCTTCCGTGCAGCCGTACATCTTCTTTTTCGCGTTCTGGGGAAAGAAGCCAGAGAGCAGCATGACCATGGGCGCTGGTACAGGCAGCAGTGCTAACACCCGGGTCCCCTACACCTGTCATAGAAGCCATCAGCCGAATTAATCGGTACTCTCTGACTCGTCTCCCAGAATGCTATTAGGTCCAAGATCTATAACCCTATAAAGTGCACCCAAGAGTCAGCACAATGACTGGAACAATCTCATCTTGAAAATGATGTCATTTATTCAGCAGCGTCATCCAATGAAGGCAACAGTTCATGGCGCTGAGTATCACTACTAATAAAGTCACTGTGGTGTCACAGGCCTCTCACAACGAGCCGGTGAGGTACTTTGGACAACGTGAAGACACCCAAGCCCCGCTTGAAGCTAGAACCCAGCCCTGTCGTTTTCTACTGCTTTCTCTTTCCAGCACACCAGAAGGGTCTGCACAGTTTCCCAAAGTAAATGTCATCTACTGCTTTTTTTTTTTGGGGGGGGGGGGATTACTAATACAGACATTATGACATCATGTTCTACTTTATGGATGTCTTTGTTTTCTTACAGAATTGGGGGATCAGAGGCAAGACCCTGCGCAGGCGAAGTCACGCCAGCCCCAACCCTACGATATTTAGCTGCTGAGCTGGGAAATCTGCATGAGGGTTGTCTGCTCAAGCAAACACTTCAAGTGTGATTTTCACCGTGGAATTTTAGCAAAGCTCTTCGGGCATTAGAGAAACAGCCTGATGGGCAAAGGGAATTCAGTTCTAGGAAGCCCCTTTACTGCTAAGCCGGAGGTTTCCAAACACGTCATTCTCTCTCCTTCCGGCTGCTCTCATTAGCGCCTCCGAAAGAGGAAGTGAGAAGCCGATCAATCAAGTCACTAATTCTCCGAAGCTGGGACTACCGCTCTAAAGCACTGCCTGTGCGGCTCAATAATCCCCCCCCCCCTCCGCGATCCCCCAGGAGGCAATGGAAGGCAGGGTTCTATCCGAATCAAACAGAGCGGGACAGCGTCAAGAAATAATCTAACTGGAGCCTGGACAGGGAACGGGAGGAGCCTCAGCCGTCTCGGCACCTGTGCTACCTCGGCCAGGCCCTGTGATGGAGGCCAACCTTTTCCAAGGTACAAAGGTCCATGGGGTGGAAAATGTATTCAGCATAGTCGGGATGCTGCTCCAAGGGAACGGGCTTCTGGAAAGCGTCTGTCTGTAAGAGAAAGAGACATGCGCACACGCAAAAACCATCACTGCTATGAAGATCAGGCCTGGAAAGCAAAGGATGCTGAAAACCAGACAATCTTTCACAGCTCCAGAAATAACCACACAAGACGGCCTCGAAAAGCTCAAGGTGACCCATCTTCTAACTCCTCCCACTCACAGAGTCCTAGGTCCGGGTGGAAGTGTCTGTGCGTAGCCTCTGCCTTCTTCCATACTGTCACCCACGTTAGGCCTCTAAAGGACACTTGCTGTGCAGGCCACACCCCAGCACAAGCTGACTTGAGGATAAAATGATACTGACTCACCAGAAGAATGTCCCCCTAAATGTAACCATAGGGTGGGACCTGGGGGAAAACCTACAAGTGAGATTCTGCTCCTCCCTTAAGCAGCCAGGCTGAGCAAGTTTTTGATCTTGACCCACTGAAGACATCAGCTCGAGGGGCAATGTCCATGGCAGGAATTAACTTTTCAATTTAAACATGCTAAAAAGAGGTGCTGGAGAGACGGCTCTGTGTTAACTGCTTGTCCTCCACCAGAGAACTCCAATTCGGATCCCAGCACCCACACTGAGTAGCTCCAGGGGATCCAATGCCCTCGTCTGGCCTCCTTGGGCACCTGCACACAAGTAGGGTTCACACATATGTGCACATATGCACACGCAAACGTTTAAAGAAATAAAAGTACTGAAAGATTTGGCTGAACACCAAAATTTATACTCATGCAAGGCAACTGAGTATCTCTCCTCATGACACTGGCCTAGTGTCATCTAGCGTGGAGGCCTGACTACTGTAAAACTGTAAAATGTTAGAAAGATGGTCCAGCGCAAGGAATGCAGTTCAGTGGCTGCCGAACTGCATACACAGACGCGCACACACACACACACACACACACACACACACACACACACACACATATGCACGCACGCACACATGCACGCACGCGCACACACACAAGCCCAGGATAACTTGACAATAACTATCATGTACAGACACTAGAAAGATGGCTCAGTGGTTAAGAGCACCGGCTCCTTTTGCAGAGAACCCAGGTTCAGGTCCCGGCACCCACACAATGGCTCACAAGTATCTCTAACTCCAGTTCCAAAGACTTCTGAGCTCGAACACCAGGCACACGTGGTGCACATACAGGCAAAAACTCATGCACATAAAACCAAGCAAATCTCTTTAAAATATACCATGCACCAGGCAGTGGTGCCACATGCCTTTAATCCCAGCACTCGGGAGGCAGAGGCAGGTGGATCTCTGGGGCCAGCCTGGTCTACAAGCCAGGTTCAGAACAGCCGGAGCTGTTATACAGAGACACCCAACTGGGAAAAACAAAAAGAAAAACCCCACAAAGTTGGGCTGGGGCCGCAGCACAGTGTTAGAGCATGAGAAAGGCTCTAGGTTCAATCCGCAGTATCCCTCACCTCCCCCGAAAAAAAGACAACATCTCTACTGAGTTGTCTGGTCTAGATGAACCTTTTATATAGATGGGTCTTCAGCAGACACAGTTTAAAGAACTAAAAGAACCAGAAGCAACATCTCATCACATTCAACCAAATAACAGTAATAATAATAAACAAATGGCTGCTTTTGTTTGCTTCTGTTTTTTGTGTTATCACATTTATTTAGTGTATGCGTGTAAGCACAGACATGTGCGGGTATGTGCTTGAAACTCAGAGGCCAATGTGAGAGAACTGGTCCTCTACTACCATCCGGAGTCTGGGGAACGAACCCCGGGCAGCAGACTTCACAGCAAGTATCTGTACCTCCTGGGCCACTCGATGGCCACATTTGTTCTTTTGAAAGAGGTTTAACGCGTGAGTCCTAACTAAGACTCCCCATTTCTGTGAACTTTAGAAACAAACTCAAAGGAATTCCACTAGCGCACAGGGTGCTTTTGTACAAACAGAAAGGGAACCCCACCCAAATTTTCCTTGAATTCATCTGTATGAAGAATGCAGTAAGGGAGTAATTTTAATGTCTTCGGGAAACGGGGGGAAGGGTTTCTGTGGGCTAGACTGAAACTTGTTTAGAAGATCAAGGTGGCCTTTAACTTCTGTGGAAACTATAGGCACGTGTCACCAAGATTGGGTTTAAACATTACTTTTTAAAACACAGATATAGACTGGGCGATGGTGGCACATGCCTTTAATCCCAGCACTCGGGAGACAGAGGCAGGTGGATCTCTGTGAGTTTGAAGCCAGCCTGGTCTACAGAGAGAGTTCCAGGGCAGGCTCCAAAACTACACAGAGACACCATGTCTCAAAAAAAAAAAAAGACACATATATTTTGGGGATGAGGAGAGATAGAGGTCTTGACCACAAGAAAAATAAAACAAGGTATTTTCTGACGTTTTCCTGACACCGCCATGGTAAACACCAACCACAAGAGCAGCAGGGCTGTCTCGACAGGGGCTCCCAGGGTGCTACTGGGAGGTGCACACCCATTTCTCCCCACTGTTCAAACAGATCAAACCCCGCCCCACTTGCTGAAGGGCAGCATCGCCCACCTTGGTGAGCTCACTGGCTCAGTCTCACTAGGGTGAGCGAGCGGTAACTTTGCTCTCAAGAAAATCCCGCGTGGGGAGGAGCAGAGGCCCTCCTTGTGATTTTGACCTCATAACTCTTCAGAACCGTCCCTTACTCCATCCATCCTACGAGCAACTGTCTCCTGACTAAACTCTTCCCGGATGGTGTCTTATGTCTGGATATACAGGAAGACCCCAAGGGTATGTCAGTGTGCCTGAAAAGCAAGGCCACCAAGGAACACGTGGGGCATGGAAGGAACAGAACAGAAGCCACTGTCGCCATTATGCTGACAGCAGCGGGAATAGTCCTCTTACCCCTGGCTGCTTCATTTTCTGAATGGCAAACTTGAGCAGGTAGGACAGCTGTTCAATGGTCAGCATCGTCATGGCTTTGCTCTGTGTCTCGATGCATTCTGCTACTGTAATCTTCTACAAGTCAAAAAATCACACACACACATAGGTCTGTTAGGGGGAAAACACATCACAGCCAATGCATCTGTTCTCCTTCTAGTTTTGTTAATGCACTCAGAAGTAAATGCAGTTCCCATCTGAGAACGGCGATCCACGAACACTGCATCAGGAAAGGATTCGGACTCGTGAAGACATAATGATCTGGGACCTGGCGAGGTAACAGACTGCAACCTTTGGGTCTTAAGAACTGAATATGAGCCAGGAGGGGGTGGCACACGCCTTTAATCGCAGCACTCGGGAGGCAGAGGCAGGAGGATCTCTGGGAGTTCGAGGCCAGCCTGGTCTACAGAGTGAGTTCCAGTCTCAAAAAACCAGCCGCCCCGCCAAAACATTGAACTTGAAAAGAAAGGCCACCGAGAGTAGATGGAGGGAACTGCAACACAGAAGGTGTGCTCACACAGCCACCTTCATATCCTCTGGGGGCCTTGAACTGTGGATGAGCAGGCTAGCATGGCAGTTCTCAAGGACACTGCTGATGCAGGGGAATGGAGTTCACTGTAGAAGAATTAAGGGAAGGGGATCAACTAATGAGAAACACGCCTCATTCTCCATGCCCAAGGACATGAACCCACTGAGGGCATCCTACAAGAGGCAACATCTCCTTTGTCCTTTCCTTCTTTGAAAACCATCTCAGTAATGTACACCAGGCTGGCCTAGAACTCACTCTGTAGACCAGGCTGGCCTCAAACTCAGAGAACCAGCTACCTCTGGTTCCCAAGAGCTGGGATTAATTAAAGGTGTGCACCACCATATCCAGGCTTCCTGGTTCTTTCTCTTTCCCGTTTCTATTCCTTACCTTTCTTTCTTCTTTTCCTTCCTTCCTTCCTTCCTTCCTTCCTTCCTTCCTTCCTTCCTTCCTTCCTTCCTTCCTTCCTTCCTTCCCCTCCCATTCTCTTCTCTCTTTGGAGAAAGAATCTCGCTATGTAGCCCAGACTGGCTTCAAACTCCTAATCCTCCTGCCTCAGCCTCCCAAGTGGGCTTACAAGCATGTGCTACCACACCCAGCTCAGAATGGTCATCTCAGAAAGGACATTCCTATCAAAGAAAAGACCCAGAAAAACAAGTGGAACCAGACTGCCACAGAACCCTCATACCAGATCTTGGGGACTCTGAGGGTTACGTGGCAGCAACAAAGAAAAAAAGAGCAAATCCTAAAATGTCGGGGACTCTTCTGGTCTCTCTGTGGAAGGAGAGCTGAGACATTCCCTCCAGGTAATTTGGAACCAGTTTCCATCTGTCACAGCCCAGGGGCCGACCTTCCAGTGAACTCCCAGTGTGGTCGGTTGTCAAGAAAAGGGCCACACAGAGTCACTCAAAAACTGATAACGGTGCAGAGCATATAAATCGACCCCATTTGATCGTCTCAGCTGCCTTTCCTATTCACTCCGGGGTGGGGAGCGGGGGAAATAAGGGCCCTGAATCTGAACACACAGCAAGCAGACCTGCATGCCTGGATCCCAGTTCTTTCTGGGTGCTGCAGAACCATAGTGGGCATAGAGGGCGTTGCCTACCCCCCCCCCCCAGCTTCTTCCTCCTTACTGGCAGGGACTGATGGATTAGCACAGGATAGGAGTCCCAGTCAAGCTTTTTCAACAGGGGAATTGGTGAGCAATGCTGACCAAGGAGCCCAAGGGCAAATTAGCTGGTAGACACTAGAAAAAAAACTCTCCCACCTAAAAAAGGAGAGGTTAGGACACGTGCTAGTCTTTTAAGGAAACCGTGGCCTAGGGGACAGAGAGGGACCATCATCTTAATGGTGAGACAGCAAGCTTGGCTCTCAACAACCTGGCAGGCCCTACTCGCTGGCCGCTTCCCACGCAGGGTGGTCACATGCTGTGGCGTCTCAGACAGCACTCATTACAAGCATCACTTGCAGAGATGGCAGCCTATCTCAACCACACTCTATCTGGTGATTCGGACAATGGGGGGGATGCTCAAGACAGAAAAAAAACTGCTGGAGGCTCAGGGACCCACAAAACTAAGGGGAGGTAAGCCCAGCTCTAAACAGGAGGGAACTGGCAGCGGAGTGTGCAAGCCTGTCTGGAGGAACCCTGGGGGAGCCATCAGCTGGCTCTGGCTGCAAAGAAGCACAAGACCCCGTCAGGGCCATCATCATTTGTTTCAAAGTCTAATTAATTTCGAGTATTTTTCTTCTTTTTCTCCTTTCCCCACCCAAGAGTGGCAAGAGTGTGTTTTCCTGTATTGAGTTCCTCCTACACGCGTCTAGGCGGCACGTCCCTCTCACACAGGACACTAATCTAATCCAGTGCACGGTGGAATCCCAGAGATGCTCTGAGATGATGTGAGAGGCTGACACTTGTTTCCAGCAGTGCAGAGAGCATCAGCGAGCTACGGGAACAGAGGGAGCTCGGGCAGTCAGCTGCGTGACGAGATAGTTCACTCTAGAAGGCAGGGTCGCAGTACTGAGCCTGCGGCTTCCTCTGCCCAGACGTCATGCCCTTCAGATCCTCCTCAAATCTCGGTGTGACCTTCCCAGGCTTGGATTCTTAAAGGGGGGGATGCCTCAGTTCCCTCTTCCCATCTTCTGTCCGTTTTCTCCACATTCCTTCAACCTATTTATTATAAGTAAATGTCTTTGGAGTTTTGTCCAAATAGAGACAATAATAATAAAGGTTATCCTCCTCTCTGTCGAAAGCGCTGTTGAATCCCCAGCACCTAACAGGCACTGGAGAAATGCTTGTTGCACGGAAGGAAACATGAGACGTCGCCATGTGGAACACACACACACACACCAGAGCGGTCTTCCCAGCCGGGCCACTGGCGAGGACTCAAAGCCGAAGGAAGGAGGGAAACACGGCCCGGGATCTTTTCAAAAGGCATCGTCAGCCATTACAGATCTACAAGGTCCCTTCCAAGGCACTCACGGCAGAAGCAGTAGAGGCACAGCCGCAGGTCTGAAAGCGCTCCCAAGGCTCGTGAAGAAGCGGGGACAGGCAAGGCGACATGTCTTCCCAAGGGCTGCCCCACTGCAGCCAGCGCAGAGGCGGGTCCCCAGAGGGGGCGGCCAGGGTAGAGCAGGCAGGAGGCAAGACATTTCTCTTTCCCTCTATTTGGATTATTTGAAATTTTTAAAAAATAAAAGGAAGAAAAGAGAAAGGAGAGGAAATGAGGAAGGTCATGAACTCATTCATCGGGAACTAACCTCACATTCAGGACAAAACCAGTCCCCCTCTGGTTCCGATGTCAGTCTCAGACACTTAGCGTGATAAACCCGGGGACAGAGCTCACAGCAAAGGACTTGTCCTTCCCGGTGACAAACCCAGCAGTAGAAATCATTCCGTCCGTCCTGCGGTACAACATCAACAGGGTCTGTGGTGAGTGGCTGCTTCATATAGTAAAACGGACCATGTCTTAGCTCTGACTGAAATGTAGGCAAGAAAGACAGGTGGGGTTTCAAAACAAATGTGGTTTCTCAGCAGTCGTTTTTGCACAAGTACATCACAAACAACACACCAACATCACACACCTCACAAACCCACTCCTCAGCCAGGCCACCTCCACTTCCCAACTAGACACAGCCGGAGCCAGGCAGCAGTTTGTGGAGCCCCTTGCCTCTGTGTTAGAAGGCCAGAGATTGAAGGCTAGCACCTGAGAGTTAGTGGCTAGACAGCAGGAGCATACCCAAATGCACAGTTGAACAACCCCCCCCAATGGCCAGCTGCGTGGCATGGGCCATGTCTCCCTCTACCTCCCTCCCAGCCTCGATTTTCTCATCTGTAAAATGGGGTTGAGAGTCCCAATGTGTTGGCATTAAGCGGCGGCACCGCCACTGCTTGCAAAAACGGAAGGGCCCAACATGCATGAGCCCAGATTTTCACAGCTAATGTAGGTTTGGCAATTTGCCCTAGTGTGCTTTAAATAGTAGTTATTTGGAGGGTGGAAACAGTTAGATTTGTTTCACGTGAAATTATCTGTTATTTAAGCACATCTCCAGCGTAGAAAGTATCTCCAAGAGGCTCTCCAGAGCCGTGATCCTTGGAGCAGGGTGTTCGCATCCGCCAAGAAGCCTGCTCACTTTATCAGAACTAACAACGTCAGAGAGAGGAAAGGGCAAGGCAACTGTTGCGAACCAGACATCCTCCTGCAGGGCCGCATCAGGAAACGTGTCTCTAGAAAGAGACATTTGAGAACACAGCAAAGCCAAACACAGAAAAGCCTGCAGCAGCAGCCCGCGAGCAGCCAGCACAGCGAGGACTGTCAAAACAGCCTTGGAAAAGCTACGTGACCTTCAGAACCACAGGGAGATAAAGAAACCAGATCTCAGCAGATGTCACAATTACAAAACACAATCTCCCTGACAGTAAAACATTACCATTTCCTCCAATAAGATCTCACCCTGGCTGTATACGGCAAATTCTGATAATATGGACAGAGAGCAGACTGTGTCTGGGATCTGAGGCAGAGGGACTGTGGGTTTGAGGCCAGTCTATAAAGACAGACCATGTCTCAAAAACAAAACAAGGGCCGACAAGAAGACTCAGCAGGTAAAGGCCAGCCTATAAAAACCAGTTTGATCCCTGGAACCCATGGCAGGGAAGGAGAGAACCCCATCTCTCAATCACACAGACACTCACACAGATATACTCACACATACATACACACACTTTCACACACAGAGACATTCATACATACACACACTTTCACACACACAGACATACACACACTCTCCCACTTTGTATTTAATTTTTAAAAGTGCGTATGTGTGAAATGAACAGGGGTCTGCTACATTTCTTGTGATTACTGCTCTTACATGCTTCAACATTTATTGATACTGAGCTAAAATGAAAAGCAGTTGAAGCATTTTGTTGACTAAACATCTGACTTCTCAGCCTGGTGGTGGCGGCACCTGCCTTTAATCCCAACACTCAGGCAGAGATCGACAGATCTGTGAGTTCGAGGCCAACCTGGACTAGAGAGCGAGCTCCAGGACAGTCAGGGCTTTTACACAGAGAAACTCTGTCTCAAAAAACAAAACCAAAAAAACAATCCTTCTCAATAGGTCCAGGCTTCTATCACTGCTTTTCCTTCCAGCACTTGGAACTGAGCCCAGGGCTTAACAGCACACGGAGCCACACCCCATGTCTCTATCTGACCGGCTAGCACAGTGGTTCTGAAGCTTCCTAATGCTGCAACCCTTCGATACTGTTCTCATATGTTGTGCTGACCATAAAATTATTTTCATTACCACTTCGTAACTATAATTTTGCTACTGTTACGAATCGTAATGTAAATATCTGTGTTTTCCGATTTTCTTAGGCAAGCCCTGTGAAAGGGTCATTTGATCCCAAAGGGGTCTAGACCCACAGGTTGAGAAACACTGGGCTAGAATCTCCAGGATGAGAAAGCTTTAGAGCTACAGGCCGCCCAAGTTCTTCCCGGATTCTAGGATGAGTCAGTGCTCTGCACGCTTGTCTGGTCCTCCCACGCTCCTTCAGGGAGTGCCTTGGGGACTTATTTCGCTCATCTGTGGAATCAATCTTTTTAAATCTCTCTTCTAAGTAAACTGCTCCATCTTCCTGAATCGCCAGTTAATCTCCCTATTTCAGTTCAAATGGAGGGGTGCAGGTGGCCCTCAGAGGAATATCATTGTTGGGACATTCTGTAAATGGTACATTTTTTTTTTCCAGGCAGTGATGGTAGCCCACGCCTTCAATCCCAGCACTCGGGATGCAGAGGCAGGCGGATCTCTGTGAGTCTGAGGCCAGCCTGGTCTACAGAGTGAGTTCCAGGACAGCCCCGACTACAAGGAGAAACCCTGTCTCAAAAAAACAAAACAACACCCCTCCAAAAAAATAATAATAATGTACTGTGGCAAGCAAGTTCAAGGCAGCCTTGTGATTTAGCAATACCCCATATCTCAATAACAGAAGAGTAAAGCCAAAACTCAGGGTAACCTAATATGACACGAGGGTCCACTGGACCCAACCGGGCATTTCTACTATTGCTTTTGTTTCTTTAATGGCTCAGTTTCCCCCAGGCTCCTATCTGCCTCGCCCCAAGTGGATATCCTCAGGACCAAAGGGACAACCAAGTGACTCTGCTCTCTTCAGGGACCCTCCCCCCACCCCCACGAGCATCAGTGGCTGCAGAGACAGTCACCCTGTCAATCATGTTCCCCTAATAGGCTGTTTCTGTTTTCTGCTTAAAAAAGAAAAAAGAGAAAGAAAGAAAGAAAGAAAGAAAGAAAGAAAGAAAGAAAGAAAGAAAGAAAGAAAGAAAGAAAGAAAAGAAAAGAAAGAAAGAACAACCTGGTAACAAATGTGGCGGTTTTAAAAGGAAAAGCCAACAATTTCAGGTAAAATGAATTCTGATTTCTCTTTCCCACGCGCACAAAGTATGTAACCGGCCTCCAGCAAAGCGCACAGCCCGCGCGACAAGGGGATAATTGCAGGTTACAAGTAAATGTTTTTTATTCCCTGGCTCCTGCCCCAGGTCAGCTTAACAAGAAAATGGAAAAGGCCTATTCACTCACTCCAGGAATGTTCTCATCCACACTACACCTGGCAGATGTTGTCTAGTCCAGATTCTCTAAGAATAATAAGCAAAGGGCTGGAGGGATGGCTCAGTGGTTAAGAGCACTAACTGCTCTTAGGGAGAGCCTGGGTTCAATTCCCAGCACCCAGCACTCACAATTTTAACTCAAGTTCCAGGGCATCCCTCACCTTTCTTCCGGCCTCTATGGGCACTATACACAAGTGGGGTATGTATATATCTATACAGGCAGAACTCATACAGATAAAATGAAAAGAAATAAATCTTTAAGGCTAGTAAGTAGCAGGGTTGAACAGGCCAGCAGGACTCCAGCACCTACATGGCTGCACACACTTTGTACCACTCCAATTGCAAGAAATCTGACCTCGAAGAGCCCCTGCACATACACGATGCACATAAACTCATGCAAGCAAACACACATAACATAAACTTTAAAAATAATAAATAAATCTTTTAAAAAGTCAGGCATGGCTAGGTGGTAATGTGGCTCATGCCTTTAATCCCGGAGGCAGAGGCAGGCAGATCGCTGGGAGTTTGAGACCAGCCTGGTCTACAGAGCAAGTTCCAGAACAAGCTCCAAAGCTACACAGAGAAACCCGATAGATAGATAGATAGATAGATAGATAGATAGATAGATAGATAGATAGATGAGTGGATGGATAAATGTATGTCAGGCATGGTGGCGCACACTTTAACTCCAGCACTCCAGAGACAGAGACAGAGACGGGGGAGGGGGAACGGGGTGTCTGTGAGCATGAAGCCATAATGAGTCTATATAATGAGTTCCAAGTCAGCCAGGGCTACATAACGAGACTCTATCTCTAAATAAGTAAGGATCTGTGATCCCCCTGACAGTGAAAAGGGTGAAACACGCTCCTGGCAATGCTGAAGCATTCTCGGGCAACTCGTTTATATTGAGTTTCATGATCTAAGTGGATGAGGATGACTGACCAGGTCTCTTCCTCAAGGAACAGGTTCCACGGAGACACGAACTCGGATGGCTGGATTCAGAGTCCAGAGTGTTAATCATTACACCATGGGGATTGGTGATCCCCTTGATAGCGTGCGTGAAAATTGGCCCTTTCTGCTAATGCCATATGCTAGAAACAACCAAGGATTCAAAGGGCAAGGACTCTTCTTTCTGCCTCGTGAGTAGAACCTCCCCGTCAATCAACCATAGACAATACATACCCAAAGCCCTCTTGAAGATCTAACTGGAGCTCCAAGAGAAAGCCTCTGTGTGACCTGATTAAGCAGTGAGTGTCCAAGATGCTGGGAGCTAGGTCACGTACCCTGGAGTAGAGCGAGGGTCTTTCTTCTGCAACCCTGCAGACAAATCCCTAGAGGCCTAGAGGCAAGGTCAGTTCCTTTGTCTCCTCACCCTCGCCCCTCTGCTCCCATACCCAAGCCATGGAGGAGTCCCACTCTCTGTCAAACCCTGAGCGATGCACGACGCTGGCGTCTATGAGGCCAATGATAGACAAGTGACAGAGTTACAGGCAATTACCACCCACGTGAACCTGAAACACGGCTGAAGTGGGCGAGTTTGGAGATGGGCCGTGGACTGTGGCTTCCGCTATTTGCTTATATAAGACTAGGCCTTGCTAGGTAGATAGCCTCGGCTGGCCACTAACTCACTATGAAGCCTAGGATGGCCTCTAATTTCCCATGGGACTCGGATAGCCTTGAACTCTGATACTTTTAACCTCAGCTTCCCAAGTGCTAGAATGTCAGGTGTGGACGGCCACAGCCTGGCTGAGAAAACATGTGGGTAAGGAAGGGAGGAAAGAATGTTCACATGGACCCACTAGCAGAAAGTCAGCCGGTTCTCAGAGACACAAGGACACACACGCGTAAGCTCATGACTGTGTGGAGGCCAGAGGTGACAATGATGACCTCAGGTGTCATCCTTTAAGAAGGCCCTCCACTTCCTTAAGACAGTCTACTCACTAAGTAGGCTAGCCTCGCCGACCAGGGAGCTCCAGGGATTCCCCTGTACCCACCTCCCCACCACTGGGATTACAAGCAAACACTGGGCATTTTTACATGGGTTCTAGGCTTTCTCAAACGCAAGTCAGGTCCTCAAGCTTGTACAACAAATGCTTTACAAACTGAGCCATGACCCCTATGTTTCTTTTTGAGTCTTCACTCCTACTAGTTATAATGGCTCCCAGGTGACAGGGGCCAGAATTTACCAGCCAGACAAGCAAAGCTAACCCCACTTGCCCTGAGACCCTGAAGAGAGAACACCTCTGCACTCCCGTTTACCAGAGACAGTTACAGCCCTTCCAAAATGATAATATCTGTGCCTTCTAACAGAATGAAAAACTCAGTTTCTCAGTCACTCTTGCCCAAGAGAGCCACGCATGGTTTATGGCTTCCATGTCAGACACTGTGGGTCTACAATGCTTTTTCAGATACTGGGGGGGGGGGGGGGGGGGGGGGGGGGGGGTATGTGCAGAGACCTTAAGTTTGCTAGAGCCAGAGTCCCAGGCCAACCAGGGTTACAAAAGAAGGAGGGGGAAAAAAAGAAAGAAAAAGATTGCTAGAATCAGACTTCTTTTTCAAATTCTGTCACCCTGTTTGCATCATTAATTAATGGCATTCAATCAGTGCTCCGAGCAGCCGTGTGGACTGGACAGCAGCACCATCCTCATCTTGGGAATAAGAAAGCTAATCGCACACAAGAGGTTAACTGCCCAAAGCCGCAAAGCCAAGGTTGAGCTGGCCGCACTCGCTATATAATTTCGAGAGTGAAAATAGATTTACGCTCAGAAACACATACGTGAGGCCTCAGGCATTTAACCGTTGTGAGCCCTCTTCCCGGAAAAGCAGCGACCTTGCTTAATTCGACCCCTGCTCCCCAGAGCCCACTCCAGACCTTGATAAAACAGAACGGATGGAAGAACCGGCACTGAAGGCCTCACAGTCACAGAGGGGACAGACACCCTACCCAGTCCATTCTCGGGGCCTCTCATCAGTTCACATCCACAGACTACCTAGCCTGCACCAGAGGATGGAAAGCTAGAAGATCCTTTACATAAAATCCGAGAGGACAGCCTTTTCCATGCAGCTGACATTGCTGGCTGCCAGGAGGGCGGGTCTGCAGTGCAGAGAAAAGGGACAGTGACACATGACCAAAGCTAGACTCGGCACTGTCTCTCCCCCGCTGACCAACATTTTACAGATGAGAAAATGGTCTTAGGCACGCAGTCCCCTGTCTTAGCCCAGAGAGAAGGAAAACTGGGAGACCACCAAAAACTCCAGCCTGTTCCAAAAACAATGACCACCCCCACCCCCAAGTCTGGCTCACAGCTCCATCTATCCCCTGTCCCCAAAACAGATCTGAAACCCTGCTGAAAAAAACTGCACAAGCCTCCTCTGAGCTGCCCGTTACGGAATGACAGTTAGCGCTAGGCCACCTGCTACATCGATGCCACGAACCCAAGCGGCACCACTGCTGCCTGGCCCCCATCCCACCGGTACCGAAGCCACTCGCGGTGGCTCTTTTACCTGCTCCTTATTGCTACTGTTCAGTAAGCCGGGTTTCTTTTTCTTTTTAATGGGGCTTGTGGAGGAGTCTTGGGGCGAATGGCCATTGGAGGAATGTGGAGGGCTGGGGAACTTCCGTTTCTGAGCCGTTCGCTCTGTAGAGCCAGGATCTGAAAAAGACAGAGAAGACCATGTTTGAAAAGCTGTCAAGGAGACCTGGGTCACTTGGAGAGGGCATGGAGGTGACAGTCACAGTCACCCTGTCCCCAAACTCCGAGTGACATGTCAGAATTTCCCACCTAGACTCTACCTGTCTCCTCCTTCAGGTCAATGGGTCTTTCTTCAGCCTACGTAACATTTATGGAAACTCTTAACTTGGTGCCAAAGAACACAAAAGGGGAAGCCTCAAAACATCTAGATCTTTGGCTTCTCTTAAAACAAGGCAACAGAGCAACGCCATAGACCCTGATGGCACGTGCTACAGCTGTGTAGCTGATCAACTATCTTCACATGGAAAGACATCAACTATTTAAACAAAACCCCCTTCGCTATCGCTGCCCTGATGACAAGGCCATGACCGTGGTCTGATCGTGAAAAACCTCCTCAGGCTCATGTATTTCAACTCTTGGCAACCAGCTGATGGCAACATTATGGGAGCCGCGGTATATTTAGGAGACGGAGCCTCATCAGAGGACATGGGTCACTAGGTGTGAATTTGACATTTTTGAGCTAGGCCCTGCTTCCTGTCAGCTTTCTATTTCCTGTTCAGAAGGTGAGTAGACTTGAGGAGCCCAACTGCACACCCCCACCACCACAGATGAAGCCGCCTACCACCGGACCTCCTAAGATGGTGGACTATATATCCCCTCAAGATGGAAGCCAAAATAAACCTTACCTTCCTTAAGTTGCTTGTCACATATTTGGTCATAGCAACAAGAAAATCAAGTTATAAGAAGTAGTCACACAGGCAGAGATGTTGCTCCTACAACCAAGAAACACTTCTCCATACCACCACGCCCAACAGCAAAATCAAGGCGCGCAGAAAAACACTCTAAGGAAATAGAGCCACCAAAGCTTATACATTCATTCAGCTAAGACAGCCCCTCTCCCAGGAAAGTTCTCACGCCCCACCCAACCACCACCTCCTCCAAAGGCATCAAGACAAAGAACACTCACTGGTGCCCACCTTAAGAAGTACCACCCCACTCCAGGCTAGCTGCCCTTGGTTCTATACTCAGCCTGCCATCTTTCCACCTCCATCTACACATAATTCCCCTTAAGAGTCACAGCCTGCTCGTGCTTGATTGAGGGTTAGCTTGGGGACAGGGTGTACCCTGAGGGACTGAAGTCACAGAAGCAGAAAAGGACCCCAGAGCACAGGATGTCAGATGTTCCGTCTCAACTCTGCCCTTTACTGCCATGACTAGTGACCACCAAGAGAAGTGGTTTAATGTATGGCAGCCAAACAATGGAACACTGAGTGCAGAATGGAGAGAGGGCTCAGCCCTGGCTGCTCTTCCAGAAAACCTGGGTTCAATTCCCGGCTCCAACATGGTGGACCACATCCATTTGTAACTCTGTTGTCATGTGATCCAGTGCCACCTTCTGGCCTCTGTAGGAACTGCACACGCAGGGTACACAGACACACTTGTAGGAAAAACACATATCTTTAAAAGAAGAACGTTGAACACGGCCAAGAGGCCTGTGAGTTTGAAGCCAGTCTGGTTGCCATAGTAAGTTCTAGGCCAGTGAACTAGGCCCTGTCTCAAAATGTTGTGGTGCAGTTATGGAGACGGATAAATAGGTAAAGTGCTTGCCATGCAAGCAGGAGGCTCAGGGCCTAGAAGCCAGGTAAAGTTAGACAGGGTCACTCGAATCTAGAATCCCAGAACTCCTTCAGCAAGATGTAAAGCAGGCAGGAGGATCCCATAGGGTCCAGGGCCAGCCAGCTAGTCTGCTGTATACTATAGTAAACAAGAGACTCTCTCAGACAAGGCAGAAGGAGAGAGCTGACGCCCAAGGCTGTTCTCATACCTCAACACAAACCTATCACACACACACACACACACACACACACACACACACACACGAAAGAAGAGTAGGACTGCCAAGTCCCAGACCAGGCTGGCTAACAGAGTGTTACACAATCTCAACCCCTCCCCCACTGGGTGCCATTTAGTGGCAAAGCACTTGACCAGCAGGCACAAGCCTCCAGGGCCAACCCCAGCAACAGCACCAGAGCGTCTTGCCATGGACTGACGCTTGACCATCTCCAGCCCAGGTTCAGTCACCAAACAACATATCTAGTGCCACTAGGAGGCTAATACATCCCTCCCCAAAAGGAGGCAAAACACTTAAGACTGCCCCAGGGTAAACGCCAAAGTCCAGCTAGGTTGGGGGCGGGGGCTCACGAGGAGGGACTGTGGAAAGGGATTATTTTTCAACGTATACCCTAGTGTACCGTATTCATCATGTACCCAGATGACTTTATCAAAGTACGGGAAATGAAAGGGATTTAGAGGGCTCAATTTCACATGAAAAGCAGCAGGTGCAGGCAAAAGGCAATAATGAGTAAAAGAGGCAGGCATTCCAGACAGAAGTCACAGATGGATAGGGGGGGGGGGGGGGGGGATGCCGAGGGCACGAAGGCCTCAAGAAGGAGTTTGGGGTTTGTTCTACACGGATCTAACACACGCCATTAACTCCGCTCAAGTGTCAGAGCCTAAGTACTTAATGCAGGGGACTGGAGCTCACAAGAATATGTCTCAAAAGAAATGATGCTCTGGCCAATCCAAACCAGAAACTGACCAGACGAAGGCGGGGCTTACAGAATCCCCACTAGAGGTTAGGTTGAGAGAAGATTTGCCAATGGGAGACAAGAGGCAGTTTCTAGGGTGTCTCTGGGTTTCTGAGCTGGCTTTGGAAACACCTCAGCCCTCAGCCAAACTCAGCCCCATTAAGAGTCCCAAGAACTGACAACAAAAACAGCCCACCAGGAAAGGGGTAGGGCACCTTGGACCAGGGCAGTGCAGCCTCAGGGACAAGGCTCAGACAGGTTAAGGTGGTCTGGTATTCATGCCCCAGAACCCCTAGGGGGCTATGGTTCTTATGACCAGCAGCACTTAAAATATGCAAAAAACATGCAAACCACTGGGCCTCACCTGGAACCCATGGAATCAGCAGCCATTATGGGGAAGGGCTGGGATCCCTGGTTTGAGAGGCTGCAGTGTATACACATGCTTGAGATGGGGGGAGCGGCGCAAGTGTCAGCCCCGCACACATAGGAAATCCCATAGATTACACTGCTACGGGACTCCATGATTAGATGGGAAAGGACCCCAAGCCTCCTCTCAGGGCCCCATTTGCAATATGGGAAAGAGAGAGATGGCAGCCAGCAGTCCTCAAATGGCTCCAGGTGAACACCTCAAAGATCCAGGAAGTACATGCTGCCACCCCCTGTATACAGTTTCCTGGACTTGGGGGCGGTAAACCAACGTGACTTTCACAGAGCTGTCCAAAAGAACAGAGTTGCAGTCAGATAGAGGCACTTGCTGCCAAGCATGAAACCTGACTTCCATCCCAGGGACCCACAGGGGAGAAGGAGAAAACCAGCTCTTGGGGTTATGCTCTGTGGTACCAGCTCCCACGGCTGCTCTCGGTGGTACCAGCTCCTGGAGCCGTGCCCTGTGGTATATACATGTGAACGAGAGCTCCTGAAAAGAAACCCTGTCTGCACAGACTGATTGGAAACAGTGATGTGGAGAGGTTGGAATGATGCAAGTCCACAGGCTGACCATCTTATCCTGGGCTAGTTCAAGCCATTTCACCATTCCCTGGCCACCTCTCTGTCAAAACTAACAGCCTGTGGCCAATAGAGAAAAACCTTTTCCAGTCTATTAATGTGGCAACCGCTAACTCACACCAACCCCCGAGTGAGAACGTCAGAAGACAGCATCTGTGGCCTATAGGAGAGCTTCCCCATCTCTCTGCACCCGCCTGCCTCTCTGATGTCTCCGCTGATGTACGCTCAACTTACCTCAATCTATGACTTTGTTCTGTGGAACTATGAAAAACCCCATGAAACTGCTTCCACATCAGACCATGAAATTTAGGGTACCCTAAATCTGCGCTCCTGAGCTGTGTAAGTTTGCATACATGAAAATGAATGGGGCGGGAGGAGGGGGAGCAATCTATACCTGACAAGGGAGTTTTGTCCCAGCCTACCAGGGGACAAAAGGGACACCGAATTGCATTTGGTCTGTCTCACCATCACCGAGGTCTGAGCATTCAAACCTTGTCTCAGCAAACCATAAAACCTCAATTCAAGCTGGGCATGGTGGCCTGCACCTTTAACCCCAACACTCAAAGAAAGAGGCAGGCAGACCTTTTGTGAGTTCGAGGCTAGCCTGGTCTACAGAGCAAGTTCCAAGCCATCTAGAGCTAAAGAGTTAGATCCTGTCTCAGGCAAACAGATGGCCTCAATTCTATTTGCTGTTATAAACCACTGGCTCTCCCTGGGGCTTAGGGAAGCCCAGCAGCTGTGTATATAGGAGCTAAACGTCCAGCTGCCCTCAAGGAAGAGTTTTCCAAAAAGACTCTTAGCAAGAAAAATCAGAAGATGCCATTAGACTTATTCTTCAGAATACCAAACCAAACGGCAGGCCAGCCCTGCAGCTTAAACACCTCCCTGCTCCATCGAGAACTCGGCATCCGGTGACTGTACAATGAAGGGAAGTAACCCAGCTGTCGTCATGGTAATGAAGTCACCATAAGGAACTCTTCCAAAAAGCTGAGTCAGAGTTGTTCTTCTCTAATGACTTGATTCTGACCAGGCTATTCTGCTAAGCATATCTCATCCATAACTTTGGAGTGGCGACACACAGCCACCGCAGGCTATCTCCCTGAGAAATGGTCCGCCTTGCATCCAAGAGGGCGTTGTTTTGGTCTTTTTCTTCACCTTCTCTGAATTAGTAGGATTCTACTAGGCTGGCCCTACTGGCCCTGTGCCAACTTCCTGCCTTCAATCCCCGCCCCTCAAAATACGTCTGGCTCTGAATGTGTTAACGTGGGTGAGGGAGCAGGGCTGCCTTGTGGAGGAGACATGTGCGCAGTGACTCAGGAACACAGCCTGGAGTGAAGCAGGCACCAGAAGCCTACCCTCCTTGTGACA